AATGATAATGATAATGATAATGATAATGATAATGATAATGATAATGATAATGATAATGATAATGATAATGATAATGATAATGATAATGATAATGATAATGATAATGATAATGATAATGATAATGATAATGATAATGATAATGATAATGATAATGATAATGATAATGATAATGATAATGATAATGATAATGATAATGATAATGATAATGATAATGATAATGATAATGATAATGATAATGATAATGATAATGATAATGATAATGATAATGATAATGATAATGATAATGATAATGATAATGATAATGATAATGATAATGATAATGATAATGATAATGATAATGATAATGATAATGATAATGATAATGATAATGATAATGATAATGATAATGATATAATGACAATAATTATGATAATAGTAATAATAGAGGATAATGACAATAATAATAATATGTAGGTTTACAGATCTAAGGGGATAATTATAATAAGCGACCATAATGATAATTGTAATAGTGATAATCATCATAATAATGTTATTATTGTTATTCTAATCATATTTTTCCAGTATAACTATTATCATTATTATTACTGTTATCATTGTTATTGTTATTTTTCTTGGTCATGATGAAGTAGCTGTGGTAGTTGTTATTTTCTTTCTTTTGTTGTTGGTGGTATTATCATCATTTCACCATTATCATAACCGTTTTCAGCTTTGCCATCACCATTATCATTATTATTATGGTATTTATTATTGTTATCGATATTTTTATTATCATTATTATCATCGTTATCGTCATTATCGTTGTTATTATTAATATGACTGTTATTACGATTTTTATTATTATTATTATCATTTTATTATTATTATTATTATTATCATTTTATTATCATTATTATTATTATTATTATTATCATTACTATTACTATTATTATTATTATTATTATTATTATTATTATTATTATTATCATTATTATTATTACTATTATTATTATCATTATTATTATTATTATCATTATTACAATTACAATTACTATTACTATTACTATTATTATTATTATTATATTGTCATTATCATTACTGTTATTATTATTGTTATTAACATCATTATTATTAACAGTATATATTAGTAGTAGTAGTAATCAGTAGTAGTAGTATCATTAACATTATTATTATTTATTTATGCTTCAAAAAGTTCGTGGAAAACAAAACTAAAAATCATATGGAAGAATATTAATTGCAATGTACCTAAACATTCTTGTACCAACGTGTCATAACCTGTTCAAACATGAACCCTTAAATCAGTAGCAGACACACTCTGTGTTTGCTATAAATAAACAGTTGCTCTGACATGGTACAGATACCATGACCCTGCTTTACCTAGACGGATTTAAAGGCTGGTTTCAACGTTTGCAGAAGTGTATTGACTTTAATGGGGCATAGAGTTAAAAAGTAAACATAACTGAAAGCGTTTTTTCATACTGTCCTTTTTCCACGAAATTATTTAAACCCACACGTATTATTATCATTTTCATTATTATTACTATTATTATTATCATTATTATTATTATTATTATCATTATTATTATTATTATTATTATCATTATTATTATTATTATTACTATTATTATTATTATTATCATTATTATTATTGTGGTTGTTGTTGTTTTTATTACTACTACTATTATTATTATATTTGTGTTCTTGATATTATTATTATGATAATCATTATCATTATTATTATTATCATCTTTATAATTATTATCATTATCATTATATTTATTATCATCATTATAATTATTATCATTATTACTATTAAAATGATAATAGCAATGATAATAATGATCTCGTTGCTAATTAGTATTGTTACTGTTATATTTTTTTATCATAATTATTGTTAATCTGATTATTATTATATTTATTATTATTATCATTATTGTTATTAATATTATTAGTAGTATTACTGATATTATTATTAACAACATGATAAAGTAATTATAATAATTATCGCAAATCATTATAATTATCATTATCACTATCATCTTTATCATTAATATTATCATCATCATCATCAATCATCATTATAATTATCATTATCATTATCATCATCATCATCATCATCCTCGTCATCATCATCATCTTCATCATCATTATCATCATCATCATCATCATCATAGTAATGATGATGATAATGATAATGATTATAATGATAGCAATGGAAATGATGATGATGATAATAATGATGGTAATAATAATTATTATAATAATAACAATGAAAATGATGATTATAGTAAAGATAATAATTGATAATTATAACAATACAGATGATGATAATAGTAAAAATATTAATAAAAATGGTAAAACAATAATGATAATAATGGCAAAAATATTGACTAAGTGCATTAACTAAGTGCATCCGTAGCCAGGGGTCCAGCACTATTGACTCCCTTCCCTTTATGCTAGTAAGGAACACAAGCCTGTACCTGAAACATCCCCTCATGTACAGATCCCCTTGAGGTGTGGTGGCGTGCGGGGACTTTGCATGAAAACTACTTGGGGGTAAGTTCCAGTGTGTATATCCTTAACGTAAAGTATTATTCCTTTAAAGTAAACACTGAACTAAAAACATATGAAAATGCTAATATAGAAAACCAGGAAAAACTAGAAATACAAAAGGGGCTCAATAGTTATTCTAAACTGAACAAATCAAAACAATTTCAGAATGATGTGTTAGCTAAAGGCTTATGTTAACTGCTAAATGATTCTAAATGATCCTCAGGCAAAAGAACTTTAAGTGATAGAAAATATCTAAAACACGGCGGCATAGAAGCACTGAAGGTGCATCTCGAAGGAAAGTAAAAATGGCAAAAGCTAAAAGCAGGCAAAGGCACAGAATAAGAGCAAGCACAAGAATAAAAACAATCACAGCCAAGTCCTGAGGAGACAGTGGATATAAATATAAATAAATAAAAGTAAAACCATTGGAATAAAACAACTAGGCATCATTAAATGTACATGTTTTCTCAGAAGAATAGAGATCACGTCCAGCTCCTTGTGAAATAAAAATATCAGGCTCTTAAGTCTATATTTGGCAGTAAACTGGGTCTTATATATATATACACAGTAACGTCACCAGCCACGTAAGATATCATTATTAAATAAAACCAGATTCATTTTAAAAATACTAGGAAGAATGTCATAACACAAATACAAAGAAAACAAATACAAAAAACAACAGAAATAATTTAGTCGACCATAAATATAGCCTTTGAAAAGAATTCGTACCTACACTCCATGAGTCAGCAAAAAACTAAATAACTTATGATAAAAAGAAAAAAAAAAAAGAAGAAGAAGCTTAAATAGTGAATTGGAATGCAATGAAATAACCAGTAAGAACCGGTAAAAGACAATAGACACAGAAAAACGAAAGTGTATATATAAAGGAACAAAGAGAACGATTATCAGGCAGACTAAAATAATAGTAATAATGATAGTAATGACAATAAAAATTATAATAATAACAACAATAACCGCAATGATAATGGTAATGGTGATAATATTATGATAATGACAACGATAATAACAATAATTATGATAAAAAAAATAATAGTGATAATGATTAGTCTATTCTATTATATTGCTATTGTCATTTACAATTACTAGTAGTAGTATCATTTTTGTTATTATTGTTATTGTAGTTATTATTGTTGTTGTTATCATAAATAGTATTTATCATTATTATTATTAGTCCTATCATTGCTATCATTATTTCTATTATTATTATTATCATTATCATTATCATTATTATTATTATTATTATTATTATTGTTGTTGTTGTTGTTGTTGTTGTTGTTTTGTTTTTGTTTTGTTGTTGTTATTACTATTATTGTTATTAATATTATTATCATATTTAATCTTTACTACCATTATGATGATGATTACTATTGTTATCATATTCTTGATATCATCATCATCATCATCATTATCATTATCATTATCATTATGATCATCATCATCATCATTATTAATATAGTTATTAGCATTGTTATCATCATCATCATTATTATTACTAGAGAGATGGAGAAAAATAAACAGACCGACAGACAGACATAAAAACAAAAAGAAAAACATTTAGTAATGTATGCTTTCCGAAAATTAAACAGAAAGCGAGAATATGCAGAAAAAAAAAAACAGAGAACGAGTGAGAGTACGAAGAAAAACAGAGTATAAAATAACAGAAAAAAATATCTAGATAAAATATGTATGTTTTTCCTCAAAAAAATATTTTTCCTGTTAGAGAAAGACTAGTATTTCACAGGCTATGTATAGCTATTTGACAAAGTAGATTGTTTTTGCAAGGAAAAAACAACTTCTCCCCTATCTCTTCCCAAAGGCTACATTGTCAAGTATATTTGCAAAAAAATAAAGACAAATGGACAGAAATAAAGATGCAAAAGTTAAACAGAGACAAGACAATGGTAGGAAAAGGAGAAAGGAGAATAATCTCTTTAGTGAACATATTACCATCAGCTGAATACCACGAACATCAGGACATGTAATATACTTATTTAATCCTCACGAAGCCGACTCCCTGAAAATGTCTTCAAAGCTGCAACTCCCTCAGGGGAATTTCCGACATTTTATTCCTTGCGTCATGACTTTTCTCAAAATGCTTTTAGCAGCTGCGTAACCTTTTAGTCGAGATTATATAAAGCAAAAAAAAAAGAAAAGAAAAAAAAAGTGGAATGAAAAAAAAAACACACACGGTCTTGTTTCCAGACGTGGTAGATATTATCAGGTTCTTTGGTTGTGTACTTTCGCCTCGGAGTTCGTTATCGCGGGCGCCGATTGGGGTAGGAATGCTGTCATTGTGGATCCTCTTTTCGGGCTTTCTGCTTAATTACTACCATCATCTTTATTCTTTTCTTTATTATTTACTCTTGTTTCCTATCTTTTCTATTATTATCCTATTCTTCTTCATCTTCTGCTCGTAATCCTCCTTCGTG